GTCAGAATTGAGGGGATGTTTCAGATGCATAATGGGTGAGAGGGAGGTGGGTTTCAGAATAGGGGGAGGTTTCGGATGTAGAATGGGGGGGAGGTAGGTTGCAAAATAGGTGGGGGGATGTGCGTTTCAGAATGGGTGGAGGGGGGAATCTATAGCTTGGGGGTGAGGGATGAAGAAGATGTACCTGGCAGCAACACTTGGAGTAGACAAAGGCTGCAGTTAGAGAAGATGAAGAAGAAGAAAACGCCAGCAAGAAGTCTGGCGAGCTTCTTCTCCCTCTCCAAATCTGGCGAGCATGAAGGGTCTCCTAGATTTAAGCGAGCAAACTAGCTAGTCGGTTGGAGTAGATTTTTGGAGCTTGCCTTGCCAAAATAGGTAAGAATGGAGATTTAGCTAATGGGTTGGAGTTGCTTTAATAATATAGAGAATCTAAATTGGCTCTCCACATTCGGAGAGCTTAGTACAATCTCTATTCTATTTTTAATGAATAGAAAGATGACACATATATATTCTTGATTAAATGTTTTGACTATTAGACTATTTTTCTACTATAATCAAGAGTCCAATTGAGTTGTGCAAAAAATCTCAATCTTTATTTCAAAATTTCATCAAAGATACTCTCAATTTTTAAAAAAAAATGCTCGATAAAATGGAGAACACTATTAGAGATGTTGTAAAAATAGAATAGAGAGTAAGTTGAAATCTCCACATTTAGAGAGCCAAATTAGACTCTTTATTTTAGCTAGTCTAAATAGAGAGTCTATTGAAGCATGATTTTTGGTAATTGACTCTTAAAATAAAGAGTTTATTTGAGATGCTATAATTGAATACTAATAATTACTAAGAGATTATAAATTATTAAAATTAAATAAAAAATCAAGAAATATTATTAATAAATTTATAATTGAGTCATAATAATGAAAACATCATTTTATAAGTAGGTTTCTTATAAATTAATAATAATGAAAAAAATATTAACAAAGATCTAAATTTAATAATGTGGATGTGGGGGTAAGAGAATAGTAGGTGTGGGAGGAGACTGGGGAACATGGGAGGTCAAGGACGTTACACGGAAGCTTAGTTTTTTGGCTGGAAATGAATAAAATGTTAGTACTTTGCCTCGGTGGTGCCAAAATCTATGGGTTTGTTGGATTTAGGAGCGTATGAGATAGGTATACCCTTTGCTCTAGAGAGATTAGGAACCTATTGTTGGAAATAATGGTATATTTATTTTTAAAAAAATTATTAAGTAGTGAAGGAGAAATTATTAAAGTTTTTGTGACTTTTGGGAGCAATTGAAAAGATCTGAAATAAATATAACATGAAAAACTACTAATTCAAAATTGGTAACTTTTAGTTAAAGATACAAATTCAAATAGTTACATCTTTTCATAAAGTAGCTATTAATATTTTTTGGTTAACAAATATTATTACAAATAATCACAATTTTTCATAAATTCACCATTGATACACGTTGAACTAAAAAGTACCCTTTATGAAAGGGCACATGTGAATTTATAATTATGTGATTCCTTGTACTCTCAAAACATACCATCAAACAATTCAAGAATTCATTTCTCATTCTAGTTCTCTCAGTTATCCAAAATACTGAATGAAGTATTCAATCTTTCTTTTTTTTTTCTCTCTCTCTACATTTTGCTACATTATTATTTCAAGTTCGGTACAAGTATAAATAGAAAATTGTATTCGTTGGAGTCTTGGAGATTTAAGTATTGTATATTCAAGAACAAAATGCGTTCTATCTTAGGAGACAGTTGTTTATTAACCTTAAGCACCGAGAAGAAGTAAATATGTCTTAAGAAAACTGTGATTACACAGGACTCGGATAATTATTTTTTTTATTGGATTTCTAGATTTCTGATTTTTTGAATTTTACTATTCGTATTATTCTGCGTTAATGTAAATGGAGTGATTTGATTTCTATATATTTTGTTTAGATTAGTGCATAAGTTAGACTTTATACAGTTTAATATAATTTAATTATATACATATTTTTCATAACACCTATCTAGTTAGGGGTGTCAATCGTGTCATCCACCATAATACTGATCAGATTTTGATACAATTTTTATTTGGAAATGAATTTGACTACCCAGATATATATTAATATTTTGATCGATTATTTAGTCCGAATACAAACCTATTATACCATTTTTCACAAATTTAGATTTTAATATACTTGACTATGATTTGATCTAAATTATACATGAATAGATTATGAATTTTATGTATTTATCGTATGGAAACTCTGTTGAAATCTATGTGTAATTTATTAAAATTCAGCATTAATTAAGCTACTCAAACGGAATTGGATATTCGGATCGAATGTTTGATTGTTATCAAATTTAAATATATATGATCAAAATAAAATTTATCGAATGATTAAAAATGATTATTTGCTTCTCCAAGGATATTGTGTACTCTACGTGGAGGTAGAATTGATTTGGTAGATGGGTTATCGTGACCCAATGGGCAGTATACAGTGGCCTTAGGCTGGCATGGAACGTAGACTTTTGGTTTATTATGCCTAGAGCGTCAAATGTGTCGGGTTAATCAGTTATATATTAGATTAAATAATTATGTATCGGATTAAACGGATGACGGATAAAAAACATATAAACTCATATATGACCCGTTTAATAAATCGGTGAAAAGTCTCAACACGAACACGAATCATTTGATAAACAGGTAATACGACACGATTTGTTTAACCCACTTAATTTTAATTTATTATTAATTTATTTATATATTTTTGTGGCAGCAAAAGAAAAATGTGGCTATTACTAAAAATAATATATATATTTTTTATGTGGCTGTCACTAAAAAAAATGTCTAAAATTTTAAAATAATTATTAATTTATTATTATATTAATTTTATTTAAACGAGTGATAAATGAGTTGACAAGATTCACCAGAACACAACCAATTTATTAAACATGTCTAACGGATCAACCCGTTTACCATTCAAACCCGTTAGATCTCACTCAAACTCATTTAATTCGTGTCAATTTGTATCAATTAATCATATCGTGTCTAATTTTGATAGGTGCTTACGATAAACAGGGAGCCTTTTAGATATGGTAAGAGATTGCGATAAAAAGTACAAATTAATTGGTACGTTTTTATCCGCTTTTTTAAAGGACAGGTTTTTTAGAGATGGTATTTGGATTTGGACTTATTGTCTTCTTAGATTTTTAAGAATTTGGTATAATGTTGGCAAAAATATATTCAAAATATGCACATATTCTCTTTTGTGTATTCATAAAAAGAAATTTTGTTAATAAAAAAAAGCAACTTTGTGCTCTCTCTCTCTCTCTCTCTCTCTCTATATATATATATATATATATATATCTCCTTAAAAAAAAAAGCAAAAACAAGCACACCAGGTTGCTTGTTGGGACTTTGGGAGTAAGGCTAATAATCGAATCGAGCTACTCAACTCAAGTTTGACTCATTTTCAACTCGATTGGAGCTCGATTTATTTTCTAGCTTAGCTTGAACAATTTTTTATCCTAAACGTTCAGCTTGTTTATATATAAAATATTCAAGATACTCAAAGTTGACTCAATTTGGACACAGCTCGTTTATAATTTTTTAAACTCATTTAGAAAACAAGCTCGACAGGGTCAACTTGATTATCAATCCTAATCGGGACCATTCATATGCCCACATGAGCCCTAATACTTAGTGAGCAATGTTACATGAACTTAAAAAGTAAATTTCATAATTACAATTATTGATTTCACTGTAAATTCCAACATTTATTGAAACTTACTATCTATTCAATAAATGTGATTATCAAGTTTATTTTTTAAGTCTAATTTTTAAGTTTATGTAACATTACTCTTTTATTTCCTCAGTAATTTTACAATTTAATGCTATTTATATGAAAATGTGATTTAGGTCCATGTATTTCTATGCAAAAACTTGCATACAAAACATGTTGAAAAAAGGACTAGTTTAAAATATTCCTTCATTTAAAAAATGATAAATTTGAAAATGTGTTCAACACATGATAAAAATAGACAAATCCTTTTTACTAGTCCAAGTTAGATGAAATCAAAAATAAACTCAGGTTTGGAATGTTCAACTATCTTCATGTGTCATTGGACCGCATTGACTATAATACAAATTCTAAATACACACAATACTATATCAATTGTAGGATTAGCCCGTTCCAAAAATTATGAATAAGGGGTTACAAAAGTTCCATCTCATTGATGTCGGAAAACGAATCGATATCTTGATGGGATACAACTTTTTTTCTTTATAGTCGGGAAAGAACGGTGAAGTCCATCCGAACCGTTCATAGGATAAAAATATATTTTCTTTGAAGTCCTTATACTCGTTATGCCTAGTATTAAATAGACTACATATTCACCTTATCAATATCTCAAATCAAGGACGGTTCATGTTTTTGGTACCTAAATGGGCACCCAAAGCATTTGAGCTTTTAGCTTTTAGCTTTTAGTAGGCCAGGAGCTTGGAGATTTCTCTGTTCTACAAAAGAGTTAGGGACATGCCTTCAACTATTTTCAACAAAAACATTCAGTCATTGTCCTTAATTTTCATATCAAACAGGGATGTTCTCCAATTTGTGGTTTGATAATTTGTCCACTCCTACCCCATGAAGAACATATCTCCAAACAATAACAATGTTGCGGTGTTTTTCCAACTTCATTTTCTCCAACAATTGTTTTCATGAAAGCGTGGTTTAACCTGACGCTTTTCAATATGAAAATGAGTTTAAAAGGCTTTCAAAACATGAAGCTACAGTAAACGTGGGTTTAATGTTTTCAGTAAACATCAGTAGAGTGGTAAATTACTTAGAAACAAGTGCAAAAAAAGATATATAATTGGAAAAGGGCAGTAATATGTTCAAAAACTCAATAAATCCCAGTAGCTTTGATGAAGAAGCCAGTGGGCGTATGGGATCTATGCCTTTTGTTCTTGCACAGACTGATTAACCCCTTTACTCATTCTAGGAAACAGCATATCATTTCACTCCCTCTGGTTTGCAGAATAATCCCTCCAATTATACAGAGGATGACACACACATACACAAGAGGAGTGAGAGAAAGCAAGAGAGAGTATAGATTGACATGTCTGTTTCAATGACTTGAATCTCTAGCATATACATATTTTTTTGTGTTTCTCGTTTGCATTCCTCTTTTCTTTCAAGAAGAAAGCAATTATCATGCATGATTTCCTAGCCCTCGAGGAAATTCAGGCTCACAAGTCCTTCAGCACTGTGATTAATAAGAACTAGGTAAGACAATTGCCTATTTTGTTACCTGGCTAAAGTTGAAAATGGATCGGGAGAGCGAGAGACTCTTCACGTCCCCATATCAAACATTTTCTGGGAAGCTAATCAGCTTCGTTCCTAATTCATTTCAGTGTTTGCTTCACTGGATATAATCTTCATAGTAATCATCATTTATCAGAGAGACAAACCTTTCAAGCCAGGGAAGTTGATGGAGATCCTTCATTGCATCCACATAAGAGTCTGTACATCGGGGCGGGGATTGGCAAGGATAGTGGTCACTCAGACCGAAACCCCCAGCAAGAAACCTCTGGATCAATGCCAGTTGTGATCTCTCTTGGTCTGAGTAGGCATCCATCATCATGGGGAGCAAGTCAAAGGAGTCCCAAGCCCATTGTTCGTATTGTTGGGTAGGTTGACTGACCAAATCTTGGGAATATTCTTCATCCCAGAATGTACATTGACAAGTTTGTTCGCCATCCCTGTACTCTGCACCACAGGAATAACAAAATTTGTGCCCACACCTGCGGATGAGAAGCACATAAGAAAGTCACAATTAAGAACTTTAAACAGATGTCAGTGTAACACAAGAAATGTGGAAAAGAGGCATCAGGGTTTCATAATCCTAAGTCTTCAGACATTTTTCGAAATATTGAATATTCACGAGTTATATTCTACATCCAAATTTTGGAAATAACTTATAAGAGAACTCGTATGCAAGCTCAAACAAAGTATGCATGCAAGCACAGAGACAGTATGCAGAATGCACATATTAAGAATATCAAAACTTACAAGAACACTAAAAAGAGATTTGATCAATCTTTCATTCAGAGGCCAAAACTTACACATTATCAGTGCTATCAAGATTTCATATATACAGGAATTCATACAAGCACCCAATCATGGGTGCACATAGTACACACATTGTAAGTATCAGACTGTATCAACATATAGGAACACTTCCGTAATTTGATAAATATTCCTTCAAAATGTAATTTCATCAGATGGCTCACTCAGTCAAGCTCTTGGCAAAAAAAAGATTTGAAGGCGCTCCTTAGCTAGTTCTGTATGTTTGGAATAATTTAATCCTTTCTTTATTGCATAAATTTGCATATTATTCCTTCCCCCAATGCAAATCAAGCGATAGAAGAGCTTTGCATCACTGTGCAGATCATTTACACCAGAACACTTTCATATACTGTTTTCTAACACAAGATTTCCTCAAACCCATCTGCACTGGTAGAGGACAAATTGCCTCATGACTCTTTTTGGTTGCCTTTTTTCTTTCAGACTGTAACTTTTCTTGGTTGAGGCCAGGGGGTGTTTTCTTTAGGCCAAAAAATTCTTAACAAATGACAATCAAAACATACAAAATACACAACTAACTATTCTTTTGCAACTATGAATGGAGAATTAAGCCTTTTCGTACAGGTTATCAAACTAAATATGACATTTAAAATATAGCCAAGGAAGATGATCAAGAGATTTTGAGCACTCCGTTGAACTTTTTTCTACTTTGATGAGATGTATTAACAGGTAACGGATGGCAGTATATCTCCTTTTAATGGAGTAGATCAGCAGCAAAGTTCCTAATATTTACAGAGACCTACAACTTAATAACACATTGCCCAAGACAGAATTAACAGCCACTGTCCCTATATTATTTCTATACATAAACCACACATATAATATAGAACCTTCTAAATCAATTTTCATAGTTGAATATTGCGAGGATTCAGATATATCTGATTGAACCAGTGGTATCTGCTAACAGGAGAGGAGCTACAATTTCCCAAGTGGGTGTGCCAACTACGAGTTGGGTTAGTAAAGGATAGTTAGGGCCATACTGAAAATATGCAAAACAAGAGGTGGTGAGCGTAGTAATTTTTGAATAAATAACATAACATAAAATGTTAAAAGACACTTATAAAAAACTTAGGGGGCCATAAGCCCCTTGGTAATAAAGTCGCTCTGGCAGCGTCTGCTTACTAATCATGTTTCAAACTACATTACGCATAAAATGGGGGCAGCTTCCTTACTCTGTGTTGCATGCATAGCTTTCTCTTAATAAATGACAGTTTACTCCCCATCCTCCACTCACACCACTCCAACCTCCAAAATCAGAAAAGGAAAAAGAAAATAAACTCTGACAGAATGACGGGAACATTCAATTCTAATTCAGAAAATATGATTGTCAACAACAAAATGACAGCATACACTTTGTAAACACGGGCACAAAAGATTGCATAAAGTGCTTCTAACTTTGCCTTGGCTCATTATGTTTGAAGCCTCAAATAAAACCCTTCTCTAAATTTGAAGCATCCCCGGTGTTTAGGGCTGCTACCCCAGATAAGCCATCAAGCAAGCTTCTAAAGGCTTTTAAACAGTAAGCATGTAAGCATATCATAAGAAAATGATCTTACCCGCAGGTCATGCGGTAGCAACCATGGGTAAGCTCAATCATCCTCCGGCACAGTTGGCAACGCTTCCATCTTTTATTTTGTGCCAGCCGATGCAAAGTCATGTTGCCAGCATCTCTCTCGTCCAATGGGAGGTTTTGATACTCTTCACAGCTCATCGAAGAATGCCAAGGGACCTCACATTCCACGCAGATGAATCTTTGGCAAACTGGGCACTCCACACAACTATTGTCTGAATGAATTGATGAGCTTGCCCTGGTGGACAAGCATTGACGTGGATCAAGCAGAACTGAACAATTAGGAAAGGGACAGTACATTTTATCCGAGTCAAGAACATTCGCCTCTGCAAGGGCTCTCTCCAATGATTCATAAGAGATAACTGGCAGAAAAGACTTGCACTCTGTGGTGGAAATATAGTACTTGCATCTCAACTGAGGGCATCTAGTGGGCACTTGAGAGGACTGTACTTTCCCATCGACATATGTTTTCAGACAATGGGAACAGAACTTGTGGGAACATTTAATTGTGATCATCATTGAAATTGGCTTCTCCTCGCAACAGATTGAACAGGTTTCAACTGATTCACTACTCTTGGCAGAAGGAGAGACAATCCCAACTGCCACTTGGGCCAACTGCAATGCCCTCTCAACATTGATATTGGGGACAAATTTCAGAACAAAGGCTTCCAAAGCACTGGCATGTTCTAGGACCCTTTGCCTCAATGCCATGAGAAGCGGACTATCAAGTCTCTCCTCAAGTGTTATCTGAAAGATGTTCATATCACCTTGAAAAGTATGAAACAATGAAACATACAAGAAGTCCATGTGCAAAATGAAGTGCCACCATGCTAAGATGTATGAACTATTACAGGAAAATATATCCTTAAAATTTAAGTAGTTAACATCAAATATCGATTTGAAAGCAATTGATCAAAAAAAAAAATTATCCATGCAAGTGTGCATTATGAAACAATGGAACTCAATAAGATTGGTATTTCAATCACATTGAGCTGACATAAGTACAACATAAAGAAGTAAGATGTTCAAATTTTCTTTTCTCATAATGTGATCTCACAAATATTTATCCTTTGATACCAAAAGATGAAATAACAAAAGATATCCCGCCCAAAAACTCCAGTAGATCAAGAAAGACCAACAAACAAATGAGAAGACAATCAAAACATCATTTTAAGGCACTAGAAACAAAACAATGCATAGTACAAAAGACTTTATCATTCATAAATAGTGAGCAACTCTTATCTTGTGAAACCAAAGCTCCAGCAGCACAACAAATTGTAGCCATCAATACTCAAAGCAGATAAAAATGTATAAATAAGTAACATTTCTCTTGGAATGTGGGATTTCTTACCTGATCATATAAGATCTCAGAGTTGGTAAAAGCGAATACTCGCCTAACATTATTCTGCTGAGCCTCTAACAGGCCATCCATCAAAGCAAAATAATCAGCCACACATTCCTCCACATAGAAATCAAGCTTTTTCTGCACTTGAATAACAGGAGAAATAGTGGATCTTTCCATAATCACCCCAATTCCAGAGAGACCAGGTTCAGCTATGGATACACCCTTAAAGAATATATTTGCAGAAAATTCGTCCAGCTCATCTTTTGGACCTTCCTTAGTTAATTCTTCTCTCTCTATCAATTCCTCCTCATCTTCACAACAGCTGCGAAACTCTTCTTCATCATCTTCTATTTTCCCTTCTTTAGCCAAATTAGCAGAAGACCCATTACCAAGAACTGTTAGTTGCTCCATTACTGATAACTGCAGTTCCAAATACCCACTACAACCCCACCACTCTAATGCTTCAACAAGAGATTGATATCGAGATCTAAGAAAAAAAACCACCAACAATCTGATCAAAAAATTCCCAGATTTACCATCACCTTTTCCCAAGAATCAAAGCAAAAACAGGAAAACATCAAACAACAATCTTTCACCTCCTACTTTTGAACCAAATTCTAAGCAAAACCAAATCTCATAAAAAGAGACCACTATATATATAGAAAAGATAATTCAGCTCTTGTTTCTTCAACTGAAACTAAGAAATACCCAACAACAAATGGATCTAAAATATCCAACCTATAACTCCAATCTAACAAATTAGAATACCAAATAGTCACAGAATAAATTCAAAAGTCTTCAGCCCAAAAAAGTCTAATTTTTTGCTCTTCTTCCCAAATCAAAAGTCAACCCAAGAGCCGAATTATCATCAGTTCACTCGGTCCCTTCATATTTATTCGAAATTCCCACAAATCTATAAACTAACAGCATGATTAAAAAAAACGCATACAAATGAAAACCTGGAAGTGAAGCTTCCATACCACTATCTGCAGGAATTTGATCTGACTCCTATTCAGGAATCTGAGAATACTGTCCGCAAGGAACCCTAACCTGACTGCTGATGCTTTGTGTCTCCACAGAGCATTTTTTTCTCTTTGTTTAGGTAGAGGACGTGACAGGGAAAGAGAGAAAAAAAAATAGAATAATCACTTACTGTTGGTGGTGGCGTAATTGTGTAATATAAAAACGAAAAAAGAAACTTCCTTGTCATGCTGGATTCCTTCTAAATTCTCCTCACCTTCGCCAATAACACCATTTTTTGGAAAATAAAATAAAATGCTTTTTCTCTTTTGTTAATATATTTGGAGGTATTTGGATCCAAAACATATCATTTATGTAAAATTCATTCGACTTAATTTTTAGGGTTAATTATATTTAAAGTCCCCAAAGTATAGGATTTGTCTTATTTTGATCTTTAATATTTTAATTGTATCATTTTGGTCTCTGAAGTATTAAATATGTTTTGATGTGGTCCTTCAAGCAAATAACATCCAAATTGTTAACGATTTTTTATCATAAAAATTGTCACGTGATACATAAATATAGACAAAAAAATAATTTGATTAGTTCTTGACCAAAAACATGTAATATAAGTAGCTCTTAACCAAAATTTGGATACCATATAATCAAAACTGTGTAATTTAGATAGCTTTTTAACCAAAGTTTGGGTAAAAATTTGGTCAAGTATTATCCAAATTATTTTTTTCTCATATTTAGGTATCACGTGATAAGTTTATAATCAAAAAAATATTAGCAATCTGGGCGTTGTCTGCTTAAGGGACCACATATAAATATATTCAATATTTCAGAGATAAAAATGATGCAAATTGAAATATTGAGAATTAAAATAAAATAAATCTCATACTTTGGAGACCTCAATTGTAATTAACCCTAATTTTTATTCACTATAAAAGAAATTAAAGATAACATATAGGGTGCGTTTGCGTTTGCATGGAAAGCGGGATTGGATAAATAATGTATAAGTCTATCTTTTCTCACTTATACCCATGTTTAGATATATATTTTAGATTCGGTATTATCACTATAAATAGTTCAAGGCCCGAATGAACATTATATTTAATACCATAAAAATCTTCTCAAATAAACTCACCTATTCGATAGGTTAAAATCCTCTAGTTGGGAAGTATTTGTATAAAATATATTTTTACTTCTGGTAAATTCAAATATAAATACCAAACATGTGGATGGATTGAACTAAGTTAGGGTTCTTGATAATTTTAATAGTTATACTCTATCCAATCAAAGGGTTGAATGGAATACGGGTGGGCTCACAACTTTTTAATACTTAAACCAAACAAATAATAAGGGGAATAGATTTTAGATTTTTTTTTTTTCCCGATTGGATGGGTAAAGGATAGATGAGTTCATCTAATCCGATCATCCCTAATACTTAAAACCAAACATAACCATAGTGATTAAATTCTTTACAAACGAATTGCAAATTATGGAGTTTACGTACGTCCAATCATAGTTAGTCACATCAATTTTGTAAACAAAAAAATTGTATACTTATGACATGTCATTTTATACAAAATTTTAAAGATTTGTATGTGTTTTTATGTATGACTGTTTTGTTAATGGAGTATGTTTCTGATTACACTATTTGAGAAAATCTTGAAATTTTAAGTTGAAGACATTCGAGCTTATTGTTGAAGCTGATAAATTTCTCTAGCTTATTATTGAGGCAAGTTATTAAAGAAAAAATCATTTCGAGGATTGACAATGAAAATAACATGTTTATCAGATCATATATTGAGATATTATTTTCTTGTTATATTACTACATTTTGGTCCATGTTA